AAAAAAACACAGGTTGCATGTCTTTTAATGCCATGTTTCTGTAATCTTAGAGAGAATTGTTGTAAAGATGGAGAAGTTACAGTAATTAAGTTAAATTAATTTTGTATTCAAAATAATACAGTGATCTACGGTTTAAATTCAAGGCATTGACAGTTTTTGTGTAACAGTGTGTAATTCTTATGGTTTAGTTAGATGTTATGATGGGATTTTTGTATTTATATTAGCCATTAGAATGATTTGCTTTTGAGAAAAGAGAAGCAGATAATGCTGAATCACAATGGGTGAGGCCAGTTACAGGCACTGTACTGAATCTTGACGGTTTCCAGTTTTTAAATTCTTATTATGAAATAACTCTACCCACCTTCCTATGGGGCCAGATCAACTGGCACTAAAAAATAAGGCTTGGCATTAAAAACAAAACTGTAACTGAAGAAAAAAACAAACAAACATCAGCATTGAAATATTTCTATCAAAAAAGACACACTTGCATTAAAAAGTATCAATACTGGAAAAATTACATTTTTTTAGGGGGATTTTCACTTCTGTGGCACTGTTTTGGCATGGAGAGGAGGGCTTTGAGGAGTGGGGCTAAAGAGAAGGTGACTTGCATACTCTGGTTGAGATCCATGAGGAGAGGACCGCCCTCTCCCCTGAGCCACTGTCCGCATAGAGGCTTCTGTTCTACTTTCCTGGCTACCAGGAGCCAAACGTAGCTAACTAGTTGTTAATACTGATAGGTGGCTCATGCCATCTCATAATGTTAGCTAAATAATAATTATATAAATAGAGGAAAGACTCTCAAGGGTCCAGTTTACATCCAAATACAATCACTTCTTCACACAATGGGAAGGGTTATTATTGTGGGTTATTTCAGACAAAACGCATACTGGTTCCCAAAACGTCTCAGTAGAGAAACTTCTTCAAGTATAAGGAGGTAGCTGCCTATAACTGCAGGTTATTATTGTTCGGGAGGATTTGGGGTCTTGTCCTGAATTAATGACATGTAATACTGTAAGATTTGATTC